AGATCTTGTAACTTATAATAAAGATGGAAAAATTTCAATTTCACACATTTTTCTATCTGTGAAACCACCTGGAAGGGTTCAGTGCTGCTGCAGATGGACATACACTGGGAGCTTTCAGCTGTAAGTGTTGAACTCCACCGCTGAGATGGACCTGGCCCTGTTTCTTCACCTACACACTGAGCACCGGCCTCCATTTATCAAAACCTAGTCTTGGCCCAACCGAGTGACACGCTGGGACTGTGGCTGTCGTCCAGGCCATACATTATGTCAGTTAAAGCTGTTTTTTATTAGCTGGATGATAGATAGTTCTTTAATTGTTTAGTTATTTTTTCTGCTTGTGTGAAAACCACGGACTTGAACGTGGGAATGTGAGGACTCTCCTGTTGCTATGTTTGGTAAGACAAAAAGGTTTGATAGAGGGAACATTAGACCTGCTGTTGATGTGCTGGAAGTTGAAAAGCATTCTGCAAAAAAGCTTCATATGATGACAAAACTTGAAATTTAAAATTCATTTAAAATGTCATCTTCTGGCATGAAATCCTCCGTTACCATCATGACGATCTGCTCATTTGTCAAAAAAGGATAATAAACACTGTCTGCAGTCTTCTTCAGTTTAACATTAGAACAACCCAGTCTGAAAGCTCCAACATGATTTCAGCTCTCCTTTTTCTTGCTGATTATAAAGGCAGAGTAACACAATGCCCTGACAGAGAGTTGCATCATATTTTTCTATGTCAGAAAGGTTAATTGGATGAGAGTTTTAATCAGGGTTACATTCGTGATAAAGATTTCACAGAAACCTCTTTCCGTACAATTTAGTTTATTTATATAGCATCAACTACCAGTCATCTGCAGGTGCTTCGAAAAGATCTAGTAATTAGGTAACATTTTGCTGAAGTTAAGGTGAGTAGATGAAGTGTAAAAAAAAAAAATTTATAAAAAAGATAAAGCCAAATAAAAGACAGAAGTAAGGGAACCCTTGGCTAAGTCCTTCAGCCGTTCCTTGTAAACCACTTCCTATATTAACTACATTCTGCTTTGGTGTAACCTTCATCAAGAGAGACAATTAGCAGTATAGTAAGGGGCAGACATTGTGTCAGTCCAAACCGCCGTTTATGAGTTTGATCCTTCATTTTTAGGAGTTTAAACAAAGTGCCTAATGCAAGACTGAATGTTAGTTAAACTCATGTTTATGTACCTGATTACATTATGTCAACCTTCTATTAAACAAAACATCTCAGTCTGTCAGTCCTCTTTACTGTTTCTTTGTAGTTATGATTTAGCTTTTCTGAGGACCAGTTTCAACCTTTTTTTTCCCCCCGGTCATGGGCTCCATAGATCTTTATGCCTTGGTCCTTCTCTTGGTCTAATTTTCTCCAAGCTCAACAAATCGTATGGAGGATAGTTTGAGACTTTTTGGTTTTGTGGAGGAAAAAAATGAGAAAAAATAAATAAATAACAATAACTTTATGAAATATAACTCTCTTAGATCTTCACCTACAAATGCATATTGCACTGCATGTGATTTTTGCTTGTGATGACTGTGAAATCCTTCTTTGAGAAGGTTTACAACACCATGGCATTTGGTACATTGATAGTTGCAGCTTTAATCCATTGCTTTAAAAAGTAAACATGTTGGGTGTTGAGAGGGCAGGTGTGTTCTCAGTGAAAGCAAGACTGCACATGTTTTCTGTCTCCTATTAGGTGCCCTATCTGCAATCTTGCTGTCTCTGGGAACACACATGCGCTCTAAGCACCAAACATGTCTCCAGCATTAAAACTTTGAAGAAAATGTGAAAAAAGCACCGGGCAGTGTACAAATTCTGTTAATTTCCAGGATATAGCGGAACAATCTCTAACTTTACTAGAAATTAAAAGGGATGCACAAGAGAGTAGATGCCTAATTCACTTCAAACTGCTGTGTTATTTAACCTGGTAGGAGGAATCCAGCACATCTGACAATAAAATTTATCAAAATACATGCAAAATAGACAATTCAAACAGTAAGATACCAAGTAAAAAAAAATACTAATGCTAGTGCCAGACTTTTTTATTATTTAAAATCCAAACTCAGCATTTTCCAATGGAATCTTAGTGGCGGTTTTTGATACTGTATAGTCGGCGTGGGCAGCCACCAAAGCGGCTTCTTGTCTATAGTGTCATAAGATCCCCTATTCCCCAACTTCTACCTAATATTTCGTTTGACAAGGATACATATCGGACGAAGGCCAAGCTTAACAGTATCAATGGTCTACATGGAAAACTCACTGAACCAGCTGATGAAGGGGAATAAAGAGGCTCATTTTATAAAGCCAAAACATAAATTTAGTCTTACCTTTACTGTTTAAGGTTACTGTATGATCTATGTAAGATAAAATATTTCCAAAAACGCCACGTAATCCATTATCCCAGCATTGTAGCTATGAATGTAGTAACTGGCTGTTTTGCTTTTCCTTTCTCTTATTGCATATGCACCACAGCTGATTTACGTAATTTGAATATCCTCCTTGGTTAAATAAAATGAAAAATAATTTAAAAAATGTAATTAAATTAATTAAAAACCATATAGTGTCTTTCTGTCTGTCTGTCTGTCTGTCTGTCTGTCTGTCTGTCTGTCTGTCTGTCTGTCTGTCTGTCTATCTATCTATCTATCTATCTATCTATCTATCTATCTATCTATCTATCTATCTATCTATCTATCTATCTATCTATCTATCTATNTCTATCTATCTATCTATCTATCTATCTATCTATCTATCTATCTATCTATCTATCTATCTATCTATCTATCTATCTATCTGGACTTGAGCTTCACTATTTATATACAATTGTGATTAATATGGAAAATATCTATTCCTATACTACTCTTTTAACATCAGAGACTGTGCCTTTTAAACATTTTCCCTTTGCACTGTTGTTTTGCTCAGTTCGTTAAACTTTCCTCTGTTCGCTCATAAATATGTCCGTGTTCCCCTCATAGTTTGTCCAAGCATACGGCAGTTATTTTTCTCCATAGGCAGCTGTGCATCAGCTACTGTAGTGATGGGAAGCTGCAGAGCAGAGGTGCTTTCACTCTCAGCTGCTGGAACCAGGCTCATTTGTCTACTACAAGCTTGGTTTTTGCTCCAATGCTTTCCAGATGTTACAGATGTTATTACCACATTATTGCTGCTGGTAGAACCCCAACTGTGAAACCAACCACGACAGGCTCAGCCTCGGTACCAGCAGTGGAAGTGGAGAGGCTTGAATCCTTGTTTTACTTGGCAAAAGGCCACTGAGGTCTCTAAAGGTTTTCATTGATTTATTTAGGAAATCTGAGAATCTAGTGAGAAGAATATGAGGTTTTTTCAGTAGCATGCTAATGTGTCGAGGCTCTTATACTCAATGTATATGGATCTTCTTATGTAAGTTGTTCAAAATGACCTGAGGACAGACAGTAATCTTTACCCGAATGCAATGATGTCCACATTTCTTTGTGAACATCAGCATGTCTTCAACATCTTCATCTCAGTTTATTTATAAGGTGCCAAATCATAACACAGGTCACCTCAGTGCCTTTTAAAATCTGTCAGTAAAATAATCAGTAATATGAGACACTAGAGACCGTCTGACCAGAGTCAGATTGACCCACACCCCTGTACAGCTTGTTAATGAAGTTATTGATGACATAGTAACAACTGAACAGTCTGATGACAGAATTCATGAGATCAAGTTAAATGTTCATGAAAAGCTAGTGAAAGCTGTACAAAGCTTTCGTTTGATATGTAATGTGGTTTGGTTGCTATTTGTAAAAGTTAAGCATAAATATTCAGCCACAGTGGAAAAAAAGGTTTATATTTATAATCAGTATGAGGATCGTAATATTGTAGTTCATAACCTTAAAGAGCTGGATTTTCACATTAAGTCACTGAAATTCTGCAGTAATATTTTTGGGGTTTGATTTAATATTTTCCTAAACGCTCTCTGCAATGAGACTTGCCCATTGAACTGGGTTGTTTATAAGATGAGTGAATAAAACCTTTACACTATGTGATAACTTGTTAGTCTTTAGGATCTCCATGGGGAGTGGGTGGGTACGGCACTGACATACCACATTACTGGGACACAGGGTACAGAATATAACATCAATTTATGATGTTTCATTATTGAAATTTAAAGATAGCACAATGGAAACATTAGCTCTCTGTTGTTTCTGGGGCTCGTGGGCTGCCATTGTGCGATGTCCAGGGTGCAGTGTGGGGTTAAGTGTCTTGCTTAGGGACCCAGAGTGGAGGCTGTTGGGATTGAAGCGGATACTTCAGCACCTTCTTCAGAACACAAGCACACTCTAAGCACTAGTCCAACACTCCCCCTGATGTTTCCTCACAGCTGAAGCTTGTCCCTGTTGCAGCTCTGTTAGAGAATTCACATTAGAAACACTTGATGGTAGGAAACTGGGGGCAAAAAGCAAGACACAAGCAAATTAAACAAAGTTCGGCATGAAAATGGATTAAAAAAATAAAATAAAACAGCAAACATTTCTGTATGTCAGCATCATAATGAAATGTTAGTGTAATTTAAAAAAACACACTGCTCTAAGCACTAGACCAACCCTTTCCTAATCATTTCTTCAGTTCAGCCTCTCTGTAAATCGTGGGTACGGATTCACTTTCACCTCTGACTAGTATTATTATTAATATTACTAGTAATTAATATTGCCTCTAAGTATAGTTGAATGATCAGAAGCTCTCATATTGGTTCAAATAATTTAATGGGGATTTAGTTGTTCCTTTGAATTAATAACAAAATTGTTAAAAAATAACAATTAAGTTTTTTCTTACAATTATACACAATGCATTTTTTTTATATAGTAATGATAGTTTTCTTATTGTTAGCATACATTTCTTTATAAAATAATTAAAACTAATTTCTGAAATAGGCCACTTCCGACTTTTTAAGGCTCCACTGCCCCCCTTGGAATTCTGGGTAATGAAGTATTTCTATGTTGTTATTGTCACGTGACGCTAACAGTAGCCGAGATTCGGTAAACGTGCTACATGCAGCAGCTACGATGCTGGGAAAGACTGTGATAGTGACCGGAGCGAACAGCGGCATCGGTAGAGCCACAGTGGCGGCGATTGTGAAGCTCCAGGGCCGGGTTATCATGGCGTGTCGGGACCAGGCCAGAGCGGAGGAGGCTGCCCGGGACATCCTGCAGGAGACCGGCGGAGCGGAGAGCAGGCAGCTGGTGGTTAAACAGCTGGACCTGGCCTCCCTGGAGTCTGTGCGCACCTTCTGCGAAGGGATTCTAAAGGTAACTGATAGGACTAAATGTAATATTTGATATATTTTTTTTATAAGGAAAATGAATGTAATTTTTGTTTACCTGTTAAAATAAAGGCCTAGTCAAGTTTCTCAAATGTTGTATAGCAGTTTTTTGTAAAGCAGATTTGATCCTCCAGTTGTTCAAGTTGTGTTTCCAGTGTTATATTTCTGGAAAAAAACATTTCATTTGGACATTTCAGATTCAACTGTTCAACTGGCTTTCATATTCATTTTAAGTTCAATGTTATCCACATTAACTAACCTAAAAAAAGAAAGTTAATTGAATGAATGTTGAATGAACTGTAACTATACAGTCATATGTTTACATTAATGTTTTTCATCACAATGTTGTTGTTTCTATCACTGCTGCTTATCTTATCAGGGCTGCACTTTAAAAAATGAAATAGTCTAGAGCAGGGGTCTTCAACATTTTCCAGGCCAAGGACCCCCAAACTGATGGTGAGATGGAGCGGGGACCCCCTGATTATATATATATTTATGAAATTGTGTTATATCAAACTGGTCCTATAGTCACTCTATTACAGATGGAGTAATGCGTATTTAAAGACATTTAAATTATTGAAAGAAATTGCAGGGGGGAATATATAAAAAAAAAGGTCTAAACAACCAAAACTCTGCAGTACCTCTGTGGACCCCCTATTGAAGATCTCTGGTCTAGAGAGCTGTTCTTAACGATATATCTTTTTGTTTACACTTGTATATACAAAATGCCAAAATAAAATCTGTCTAAGTCTAACCAGATGTGTTAAAAAGTCTATTGGAGTTTAAATAAAGATAAGTCAGGATAAGATGAGTGCTTTCCATATTTAGTGGCTTTGAATAACTTGATTTGAACTTTTAATAGTTTTAAAGGTACAAAGTAACCCTTTACAAGTTGGTTGAGGTCTTGTAGGTTGATGATTTTCCTAATTCTTCTCAAATTACATCTAAACTGTGAACCTTTAAATAAAATCTGTCAAGAAAATCCTGGCTTCCTATAGTTTAGGAAAAAAAATCTTTTTTCAGTCATCGCTTTATTACTGTATGGATATACATTGATAGAATAGTTGCTACCTTCCAAAATGAACAATTCCTTCTAGCTTTTCCTCTTTAAGTTCAACTAATCTAATTATTTGACTAACTATGGGGTACTCCAATGTATATTTAGCACCATTTTATTTATTTCTTTGTTTTAGCATGTCCAGCGATTACACATTTTTGCTTTTATTATTGGATTCAGTGCTTTGAAAATGCATCAATATCCCTTCAACTACTTCTCATTTGGTCACATTTCAACCAATACCTTCAGAGTAATGTATAATGATTTAGTGCAGCTGCTCTTTGAAGGCTTGAGAGGCATGACGGGTTTGTTATAAAACGTTAGTGAACAGAAAAAGTCTAAAAAAAGATTAAAATAAACCATGGTGCCCTTGCATGGCCTGTCTGTGTGAAAACACAGGGAAGGAAAGTATGACTCTGAGAAAACAGCCTCAAGCCCCATAGTAACTGTTGGGGAGCTACGCACAGCCAGAAGCCAGGTGGAAAATCTTATAGCACTTTGCTAAAACTGCTTGTATCAAATACTTGGTGTTGTTAAGATTTCATGACTCTTAGCTCGGGCTCTGCATCCTATTCATATATTAGGCCAGCAAAGTGGACTATATATTTAATTAAACTCAATACAGAAAAATTTTACTGCCCTCAAAGGGAAATTAGATGTTGTCATAGCTCTTGTTTTTTTTTAATTGTCTTTGATGCCCCTACACCGAAAATCAATTTTAACACTGAGGCTGGTTACACATAGTCCTGCCCTGTACAGTGTAAAATTTACACTGATCACGTCAGAATTTTAGAGTTAATTTTACTCCACTTAGTGTTGATTTTTGTTAAACTAAGTTAATAATTGTCAGATTAATTCTTATTTTACTCTATAAATAATATCAAGTCCAACTAGAGTAGCTCAGTGTTGAAATTGACTATTTAAATGTTACATTAACGATGCTCATTTTACTGACCTAGATGCTAAAGCTCATAATAAATATTGGTGACAGTTTAATAAAGAGAAGAAAAAAGAATAAATGACATGTTGGTTCATATTTTACAAAAAATCTTTTTTCTTTTTGAGTATTTCAGAATCCCATGTAGAACGCCATATCTTTTTTTTTTCACAAATAAGAAGCAAGTTGCAAATGGAGCTTTTTAGGAGATAGATTAGAGCAGGGGTTGGCAACCTAAACTGATCGAAGAGCCATATTGGACCAAAAAAAAGCAAAAAATAAATCTGTCTGGAGCCACAAAATGTAAAACTCTTATATAAGCCTCGTATGGCAACACGGGCTCTAAATGTATTATCCTACTATAGAAAAGGACCATGTGGGCTGAAATATATAATAATCATTTATTATTAAAGGTTTATACTGAAGCAAATGTCACATAGCAGCATGAGGTGAGGGAGGAGCAGTGAATGCTCCCAACGCTAATAGGAATTTAGAGTATATTAATATTGGAGGTGTGGTTCACTTTACAGCAGTAGAACGACACTAACTGATGCACTCCTGCACTCTTCAACAGGAGGAGCCTCGGTTAGATGTGCTGATCAACAACGCCGGAGTCTACCAGTGTCCTTACACCAGGACAGAAGACGGCTTTGAGATGCAGTTTGGAGTCAATCACCTGGGTCACTTCCTGCTCACCCACCTGCTTCTTGACCTTCTGAAGCGGTCTGCGCCCAGCCGCATCGTGGTTGTCTCCTCCAAGCTCTACAAGCACGGTGAAATTAACTTCGAAGACCTGAACAGTGAACAGTTCTATGACAAGGCCTTTGCTTACAGTCGAAGCAAACTAGCCAACCTGCTGTTCACCTGTGAGCTGGCACGCCGCCTGGAGGGCAGCGGCGTGACGGTGAACGCTCTGACTCCAGGCATCGTGAGGACTAACCTGGGACGGCACGTCCACATTCCGCTGTTAGCGAAGCCGCTTTTTAACCTGCTCTCCTGGGGCCTGTTTAAAAGCCCGGAGGAGGGAGCTCAGACTTCAGTATATTTGGCCTCCAGCCCAGATGTTGACGGTGTGCAGGGAAAGTGTTTTGCAGATTGTAAGCCTCAGGACCTTCTGGAGAAAGCCACAAATCAGGAAGTGGCATCTAAACTGTGGGACATCAGTGAAGTCATGGTGGGCATTACTGTCTGAACAATGCAAGTTTTTCACAGCAGGGAAATACCTGAAACTGAGAACTATACAATAACTTGGTTAAATTACGCTAACATTTCATTATGATGCTGCAATACAGACATGTTTTTTTTTTTTTTTCATTTTCTTGCCGAGTTGTTAACAATACCTTGTTTAAATTGCTAGCATCTTGCTTTTTGCTCCCAGTTTCCTACAATCAAATGTTTCTAATGTGATCCCTTTAACAGAGGTTAGAGCAGTGCGCTTGTGCTCTAAGAAGGTTTCAGGCTTCAGCTGTGATGAACCATTAGGGGGAGGGTTGGAGGTTAGAGCAGTGCGCTTGTGCTCTAAGAAGGTTTCAAGCACCAGAGCCTCCACTCTGGGTTCCTGAGCAACCTTAACCCCACAATGCTCCCCGGGCGCTGCACAGTGGCAGCCCACTGCTCCCCAAAGGGATGGTTCAAATGCCAAGAATGAATTTCTCCATTGTGGGTACTTGTGTGGTACTTGTGACAGTGTAATGACAATAAAAAAAAACAATTGAAGACTTAATAAAAAGTTATTTAAAACGTTTTCCTCTGATAAAAAAAAATGAAGACATTGTATTTAAGTTTTTGCAAATGAATATCATACATTGATTAGAAAACCATTTAAACAAAGTGCAACCCCTTTTAATACTGTCAGTTTTCTTGTAAAATATTCCATTTTTTTTACAAGGCCTTAAAATAGAAAATAGTCAACCTGAAAACAGACTGCAGATTCCAAACTGGAAGTCTTTAAAACTTAGCAGGTTTTGTGCCTACAAAATAAGCCCTAACCAATAAGCCTCCACTATTGTACTAATATGCTGTATTTACTGTAGTTTTCTCTAAACATCGAGCAGCACTTTATAGTCGAACGCCACCAGTATCATCACTTACAGAAGAGGTGATTCATACAGGTAGAGATTCACAAACCTAGATCGCACTGCTAACATTTAGATTTTTACTGAAGCCTTTAAATATAAATCAGCAAATTTTGTTGCTCTCGTTTTTCATGACCCTTTCAATGCACACATTGACCCCTCTTGAAAATTGCTCACATATCTGTGTTCGTAAGAAAGTTATTTACATCTACCTCAACATGCTGATTACTACAGGTGGGCTAGACGTTTAATTCAAACAGACTTCTTTATCTGTACACCTCCGTTCTTCCTTTAATCCTTTGCTCTGGCACAGTGTTAATTTTGACAGCAAATTCTGATTTAGTCTTAGTCTTATGAATAACACACCATTTAGTTTTAGTCACATTTTAGTCATCTGAAATCTTTTAGTCTTAGTGTAGTTTTTGTCGACTAAATGTCAAAAGAATTTTAGTCTTAGTCTAGTCTTAAGTCTTTTAGTCTTAGTTTAGTCTCAGTCTAGATTTGAATTAGACTTGAATTTCCCCTTGGGGATCAATAAAGTATCTATCTAGATTTAGACACAGATTGAACCGTTACAGATACAAAACATTTTAACTGTGGCTTTGCTCCCTGAAAGTTTAGCGCAAACACTGCGGTTAATCAAATAAAAAATAACCTTGTATGCTTAGCGTGTATGCTTACCTTCGCATGTATCTTTGGATGAGTCATCTGCAAATGCCGTTTCAAGTTGGTGGTGTTTTTTCCGGATATTTTGGCTCCACACGGTTTGCAGGCGGTCTTGTTGTCCTTAGTGTCATATGTGAAGTGTGCCCAGATATCAACTCTTTTTTTTCGCCCTAGCTGTTGTAACATGTGTATTATTCATTTGATTTTTGAAAGGCTATTACTGCTACGAAAATGCTGCTTCTATGCTTCAACCATACGCGCTCTCTTCTTCTTCTTCTCCTTCTTCGCACAGCTTTATGGCGCATTACCGCCACCTGGATTTCTTTCTATGGCGGTTGGCAACTAACTTTTGATTGGATTTCTTCCCAACTTGTCCCACAAAAAAAGTAATTCTGATAGGATCACCATTCGTCCCTCCCTAATAGTTTAGTCTCGTTTTTATTCGTTGACTAAAGTGTCAGTTATTTTCGTAATAGTCTTAGTCATCATATCTCACTTTTTATTTAGTTTTTATTTAAGTCCGTGAAAAAGGTTCGTTGACGAGTATTTTTCGTCATAGTCTTCGTCAACAAAATTAACACTGCTCCGGCATCAGAAATAGAACCCATTCTTATCAATGCAGTAATTTCCACCATCTACCTGGCACTGTGGCATGACAGACCTGTTGTCACTCAGAAATATGACTCCTACATCCCAAATAAGTTTAATCTTATTATTTCTCTGAGCATTTTATGGCTAACCGTGAGGTTAAGCTCCTGAGATGTCCATTACTGGGAGGATTAATTTCTTTGTTCAAAGTTTTAGACTTGTAATCAATATTTTTCTTTTCAGTAGATACATTCTTTGGAAATGGCCTTACCACATTAATCACCAGTAATGGTTGCTTGTCATTTTTTTTAGAAACTGAGATTGTGTTTATAAACCTGTGTGTTCCAGAGTGGCAAAGTGCTGGTTGGTTAATTAATTCATGTGATCAGAAGCACCTGGTTTCTTCTTTTCCTCTTAATTCCTATGCAGCAGGACTGGACTAGCTAGTGTTTTTCATGCAGGTGCATGTAACAGATTAATTCTCTTTTACTTGCTTCATTAACAGCCTCCCTAATTTCTACTCACCCCTGGAGGCTTCCTTGGGTTTCGCCTGTGGAGGGTCACGTATCAGATATCGCTTTCCGCTCCAAAAAAGTTGGTTAGACTTCAGTCAGCCATACTGGTTGCTCCAAAAACCAGTCATTAGCTGGGAATGTTTGCTCTCCTATTCACCCGAAAACGGCACTTTTCTTTTCTATCAAATGGTAGCGAGACCTCCAGGATTCATGACTTTCCCACCTGTGTTGTTCATTAGGACATTTTCCGGATCATTTATGGTAGGCTGAAAAACAAAGTAGAAACACAAAGGCAGTCACTTTATCAACTCAATCGCACACACAATGCTCCTGGGCCACTTTTTTCAGCAGCTCCAGCCTATTTGTTTTACAAATTACTCTAATTAGTATAATTACAAAATCTGATGTTCTTAATGGGCACTGTAATATTGATAGGACCTTGAATGCTACTTTAGATCGGAGTATTTCAGCCAGGCTCCTTATCCAACCCATAATGGATCAATTAAAGGGGTGTTATATCTATTTGTTGCCGAGCTTCTGTTGGAAGGCCTGCTCATTAATTCATTCACAGAGTTATAGGGAAAAACACTTTTTTTTACATCTTTTAGATTTTGGCAAACATAGCTTGAGTCAATTTTTTTAAAGTATTTTTTACCCCTCTCTCTGCTATTATTTGGTGTATTTCATGTGGCAAATGCGGTCAGGGATCCGATCTGATCATTCTGTTGGAATGAACTGGAAGGTATGAAACAATTATTTTAGTTGTGTCTGCATCAGTTTTTGGAGTTTAAGTTTAGTGGATTTAGCAGTTTCTTTGCAGTATAAGTCCAGTTTGTGAAAAGGAGAGATCTCTGGATTTACTACCCCATCTACTTTCCAACACTTACAGTACCTATGATCAGGTGACAAGGATTGTGATATGAAGAAAGCTTTACTGAAAACAAAAGAGAAAAAAGCTCCTCTGGCGGATGGCCAGGATGTCAGATAAGTTAAGAACCAACTTCCCCACAAGTAAAACTAATGCTCTGCGGAGTCAAGAGAAGGCAGGTGAGGTGGTTCATCTGAACAAAATGGCTTGTGAATTCCTGCCTTTACCAATTTTCCTAACTTTGTCTCATCAGAAGGAGACCTGGAAGAAGCTCAGAACTTAAAGGAGGCACTATCCACACAGCTCTGATCATCCATGGTGCTCTGAAAGAATATGCAACTTTCAGAGTGGCAATTGACATGCAAAAAACCAAGCTGTGGTAGAGCAAATATGAATAAAGACACATAAGAGTATACATTTTTACATCTCCAAATTGATGATCTTTGAAAGGACAGTTTAACTGTGGTTAGAACCCGCTTGATTTTGCTGCAATGCAACTGCAACAGGATGATGAAATATATATATCTATACTTATTTTTTTTTTGGTGACTACAGTATTTTCTAAGCTTTTAAATCTCCTAAGAATGCTCTGAATGTGTTACTTTAGATATTCGATTTACTTAAACTTTGGTAAGTAAAAATAAAAACAGCATAAAATCAATATAAATAAAGATATTTATTATGTAAATGAGCAATATTGGGCATAACTGACTGCTAGATTACAGTAAAGTGCATACAATTTGGTGATTGGGAGGTGAAATAAGGATTAGTGGAACACACACAGTAAGTATTTAAGGATTTATTCATTATTTTTGGGACTAGCTATCACTGCTTTAAACACAAGTATTTAATAATAGGAATCTAGCTTCAGAAGTCAAAGTCGCTTTTCTGTTGGTTATAGTCCACCCAGATCATGAGGTAAAGAATTTTCTCCATGGATTTACGTGCAAACAATCTCATTTTCTTTTGGGTGCCTGCTCAACACACCTGTTGAAGTCACAAAGGCTTCACTCAACACAATCAAGGCACCGCCACATGCTCAAATGTTGGTCAGTTGAGAGGATTCCTAAGCAGCAGCTGCTTATAAATACTGTAAAAGGTTAACTCCCTGCTCTCTTTCAGGGCTTATATCTATTGTATTTGATTATTGATACATAGATAAATAACTCCTGTGCAGTTGAAAATATGCCATAGAGGATTATTGTTTTATATCAATATGTCAGGATTGAGTCTTTAGAGGTTATGCAGGCCTCAGGTGAGTAGTTGTGTTTATGATGTTAGGAGTTTTATGTTTCTGCAGGCTTGTTTCTTTGAAACATAAAATACTCCTCCATCCTTGTCAGCACTGCAGGCCAGAACAAATTAAATGGTCATCCAGAGACGAAATAGTTTAAATGTGGTCGTTCTTATGTTCCATTTTGGTGCTGCTCTACATCTTCATGATGTAAGTTTCACCATGTCTGGATCTGGACATATTACACCTAGAAGGCTTCAGACTTTTTGGATGCTGAGACTAAGACTCATCAGGACTGACAGTCCTTTTCTGAATAGGTTTCTCCAGCTTCTGCTTCACCTGACTGCATGAGATTTACAATAGACATGGGGGTTTGAGTGTTTCTTTGTCCAGGCTTCCATCAGTATGATCCCCCTAAACCTCAAGCCTTCACTTAATGATTTGAAGCCCTAATAGGTCTTGATTCTGA